ATTTCACAGTGGCTTGAGGAAGCTTTGGGTCAAGATGGAGATCTTTATGTTTTTGATTATGGAGATGGTGTCATGCATGTAAATGCACATGTATGTCTAAATGTATCAAATTGTGTAATGCTTATAGGTGCTGTTTTTAGCCTGTCCATTATATCTCAATAATCCCAAACCCATTGCTAATGAGTCCATTTTGCCTTATAGTGACCTTATAGGGCAGAGCAGAACTTTTCCAGAGGGTTTCCAAAACTGTACTGTAAATATTTATTGAGGCTGACCTCCACATCTTTTCAGAAGTAGGGCTGATGGGTTCAAACCACTGACCTGTTTCTTTGAGCTGTGACATCAAGTTTATTTATCTCAAAAAAGCTATTACAACACGCACACACTGCCTACCATATGGCATCAGTACCTTGCAGTGTCAAAGAACATACTACAATTTAACGAGCCTTAGAGGAGATCCTTGAAGTATTTCTAGATACCATGTAAAACAGACACTGCATATTTACTATGTGTTGACTAAAACTGCCTTCACATTCACATTGTGCAATAGAGGTCCCAGTCAATTATTCTCTCAGGGATCACACATGACACTGGCTAGCCAGCGGGAGGAACTGAGCCTGTTGGCAATACGTCATTTCCCCAGATGTGTGTGGGAGGAGGGGGAAGCCAGGGTGGGAAGTCTTTGAACACATCCTCAAAAAAATTGAACTTCAGATCAAGCCAGCCAACAGCAACTGTAGATACATGACTGACTGGCCAAGTGCTGCTTGGCTGTTGGGCTGCTGACGGAAAGGTCAGCAGTTCACAATCACCCTGCTCCAAGGGAGAAAGAAGAGACGTTCTACTGCTGTAAAGAGTTTTCCTAGGGGGTTGCTGTGAGTTCGGATCGACTCGATGGAAATGAGTTTGGTTGTTTTTGTTTGTTTCTCTTAAAAAAACACACAACCCACTGAAGCTACAGCTCAGGAAGAGGGACATGTCTGATCAGAGCAGACAGGAGCAACTGAAGGGGGAGAAAGTGAGAGTGGAGCACATCCTGGCCCACCAAGCCTTGCACAGAGAAGACCATAGGGCCGGCTCCACTAAGAGACACAATGCCCCTCACTGACCTATAGTGCTATGGGGGAAAACACTGGAGACACAGTGTGGGAATTTCGTCTGATCTGACCCCACCACACTGAGGCGAAACACTAAAGGCATGCAACAGAACAGCAAGGGGAACAGAGCAACAAAGTCACCAGGGAATACCAAAAATAGACTTTGGGGCCAGGGCGTGGCACACCATCACACTCGACTGGAAAACACTCCTAAAGGCCAACAAACAGTCCTTGAACTATTTACAGGCCCTGCCCTCCACCCTGTTAACAGCTTCTTTGTGCTTCTTAATTTTTTTAAATTTAATTGAACTTGTTTTTGCTTCTGAATATTCTGTTTGTATGTGGATTTCCTTATCTTCTCACTCATTGTTATTGTTTTTGTGTCTACTGGGTCTTTCTGTTTTCTCCTTTGTATTGGTGAGTTGATGTATTACTTTTCTCTTTGCACTTACATTAAACTTTACCTTAATCCTCTTAAAATTAAAACAGACCGTTAGGTCTTAAAATCACCTTGACTTCCTCCCCACGTGGAAGTTCTGTACTACTTACTATCTTTCACTCCCTCTTTCTGCTTTGACGTTGTCCTCTTTCACAGCTTCCCTTCTCTGGGTCCCTGAGGTCAGTTCTTCAGCTTTTACTTGCAAAAAGTCTTTATCTGTGTTTCTTTATCTCAGGTTGCTGTCTGATGTCATTAGTTCTCTATCCAAAAGACGTAGTTTAATATTTCTTGTAATGCTGGTCTGGTGTTTCCAAATTCCCTTAGCTTTGGCTTATCTAGGAATATGCTTTTTGAAAGATAATTTTGCTGGATACATGATTCTTGATTGGCAATTCTCTTCCTTCAGGATTTTGCATATGTGGTCTCATTGTCTTCTTGCCTGCATGGTTTCTGCCCAGAAATCAGAGCTTAGTCTCATTGGTGCCCCTGGTATGTATTTCATTTCCCCTCCGGAC